GGCCAAGATGGTATGGTCTTTAGTATGGTCGTAGTCTCGTTTCGTGATATAGAAGTTGCTTGACCTTGTTTTAGCAACTTGGTAATATTGTCGGCAAGATATAGAGGAACGCACCAGATCCACAGGTCTCACTAAATCAGCTGAAAAGGGTACATCAGAATTTGGTTTAAATAAGCAAATAAGAAATTGTGATAGTGAAAGGGTATTACAAGGATATAAGATAGGTGAATACATCAGGATAGAAGAGATATCATAACTGTTTAGCAAACAATTGACTTCATTTATCTATGACGCGTTGTAGTGTGATGCTAAGGCAGACTGACGATGATGGCGAAGCGTCTGGGAATTTACCAGGTCCATAGTCCGACTGGAAATTATCAAGCATACTAGACCCCGAACAAGGTGTTTTCCTCTAGTCTTCCTGACAATACGACCAAGTTGTTAAAACAAGGACAAACGATTTATTTAAACAGTAAGGTTACAACGATGAGTGTTTAAAGTAACTAACAGGAAAAAGACTCACTTTATTTGCCGTACCAGCTGGCGCACTCCAGCCATGCGGCGCATCTCTTCTATCTCCTGCTCTTCACCGAAGGAACCAGGTAAAGAGAGCTCAGTCTTAGCCCTCGAGGCACGTCGACGCTTCTCACGCCAGTTGTCCAGGCTCTACATAGGAAAAAGCGAGAGTTAATCAGAGAATGGATTAAACGGTATGAGTTGCGGGAAAGTAATGATAAAAGGGAAAAAAAGAAATATAGACGCAGGAAGAGATATAGAAAAACACGAAAAGGGAAATAGACAACTTAGTTTAAGCTTTGTAAAAATAGGAAATTCATTGCAGCTATGAGCCAAAGACCTGATGAGAAAAACCCCAGAAGTATGGAAAATAACATAAATGGCATAAACGTAGAATAATGAAAATAAAAATAAAAAGTGTCGTGAAAATCAAATGAACAGGAATAAGGAAAAAATTTCTATGAATAAGAAAAACGAGGAAAAATCGCAGGATCCCGAAATGCCTAGTCAACGACTAAAAGGCATCCTGAATTTCATTAAAATAACTAAGAAATACTTAGAAGTAGGTTAACCTTGTTGTCGCAACTTGGTCTTGTTGTCAGGGTGACATAGTAGAACGCACCTAGTCCGAAGTCGTGTGCCATAGTAGTTTTCATGATTCCCAGTATCTGACGGTGGACTTGATACACTCTCAAACGTTTCGCCGGCATCATCAGTGAGTTTTGCCATTCGTAGCTTGGTACGGCGAATGGCAAAACTCACTGATGATGCCGGCGAAACGTTTGAGAATGTACCAAGTCCACTCTCAGATGCTGGGAATCATTACAACTACTATGGCACACGACTTCGGACTAGGTGCGTTCTACTATGTCACCCTGACAACAAGACCAAGTTGC